ATGTGTTTCATGTCTCCACGCTTCACAAGCACGAACCTGATCCTTCCCATGTCTTAGATTGGACAAATTTAGAGGTGGACGAGAATGATTCATATGAAGAGAGACCGATGAAGATCTTGGACGCCCAGGAACAAGTTTTGAGAAGCAAAATCATTCCTTTAGTTAAAGTGTTTTGGCATCACTATGGGGTAGAAGAGGCCACTAGGGAACGAGAAGCTGAAGTTCGTGAGAAATACCTGGATGTATTTAATGATATGTAACCTTGCTTGTTTGTTACTCTTAGATTATGGTAAGGGAGGTTGTAAAAGGAGGTAAATGAGAGAAATCTCAATTTCTATGCTATTATTTGAAATTAACTTTGATTTCGTTTTGGATTGAGAAGTGGTAATGATTGAGATTGTTGTTATTGTAATATTAATCTTTCTTGGGAATTGTTAGAGTTATTTTGGTAGGAATTACGAAATTTCGGGAACGAAATTCCTAAAGGGGGGTAGGCTGTAGCAGTTGTTTTTGGATGATCGCTCGAGTGGTCATTTGGTTGCACAAGCGGAGATTTGTAACTCCCAATATCTTGCAAGTTTTCAAGCGAGACCGCTCGAGCAAATGAATGGTCACTCGAGCATAAAATGCGAGCTTTTAGTATTTTCACGATAGTTCTGCAAAACTTCTAAGATCTTACGTTTACCGCTCGAGCAGTGGAAAGTTCGCTCGAGTGGTTTTGTTTGTATTTTGGCACTTCACTCGAGCAATGGAAAGTTCGCTCGAGCTGTCTGGTCGAGACGACAGAGTTGTATTGAGATCTAAACACTTTTCTAATTCATTTCTCTCACACTTCTTTTCTCTCTAACAGCCCTCTTTCCAAAGCCCTAGCTGGAAAACCTTAGATTTCATCTAATAAGGACAAGAATCGATCTTTGGGCCTTTATTAAAGTTGTTACCCACGTCAACAGCTACATTTTGAACCGAATAGATCATCATATTTCAGAAGCTCATCGAGTGGACCTTTATCTCTTGTCATACAACCTTGAGGTAGGAATACCTTTACCCTTGTATATTTATATTTTGGTCTAAATAGGTGTGAATCTTATGATGTATGAAACTATTGAGATGAATGATGTATGTATATATATATATATCTATATATATATGGACTTGTGTGATAAAGTGTTTGTGTGTAATTGAGGGTGGATTGTGGAATCAACTATGAAATAATGAGTAAACATACTTGGAATCAAGGAAAATAAATATTTGAAAAGAAAGTCCGCAAATTTTTATATGAATCCTAAGGGATTGTTCTTGATTTTGATAAAATGGATAATTAATACGTAAAATTTGAGAATCCTTGTAATTGATGTGTATAAAATGTTAATTTATTGGAATGTGTTTGAGGTGCTCACTTGCCCAATTCATGTGGGGACGACAAATGTAGGAATGTGTTTGAGGTGCCCACTTGCCTGGTTCGCGTGAGGGCGACAAATGTGGGAATGTTATGAGGTGTCCTTTGGCCGATTCGTGTGAGGACGACCAAAGTGGAAAGGTTTGAAGCATCCACAGGCCATCTATGTGAGGACGGAAAAATGTGGAGGTTGAATGTCGAATTGTGCGTTGTATACAATTTTTAAAATAAATATAGATTCTTGGGAATTAATAAAGGTCATGCATATTTAAATCAAATGTTTATATACTTGGTTAAAGTTATTCTCTACTAGGCGATTGCTCATTCCTATTTACTAACGTTTCAGGAAATGAAAAGCTTCAAAACCGTCAATGAAGACGAAGAAAAAAGACTTCCTCTTTTCAAAAATCTAAACTTTTGTGAACTTGAAGTTGTAATGTAATGATGGAACTCGTTTTCTAATATTATTTTGAGTTTTGTTCTTTTGTATTACATGTCATAATGTAATGACTTTGTAATCTTCTCTAGCTTACTGAACCGAGATCCATATTTTGGAAATTTTGTAAACAAAGTCTGCAGTTCAATGAGAAAGAGAAATATTTTAGTGCAAGTGTGTTATGTGTTTATGTGGAGAATGTTCTATTATTTGTTCAATGGGAATTATGTGTATGGGGTGTTACATCTCTCACCAACAAAAATATGCACTAGATCTAATGCCTTATACCCTCATTAGATTAGATTTATCACCAATTTTCTCTTTATTTTATGAAGAAAAAAAAGTTAATTCATCTAAAAATTAATTCATGTGAAAGCTAAAAATTTATAATTTGTGTAGTTATTAGTGCGCATATATGTTCACTTCACCCAAGGTCTTATTTATTTAAAAGTAATGCTACGCATTTTAAAATAAAGGGGTATTTATACATAAGTTCTAATTTATGAACTTATACTCCATTAAGTCCTAATTAGGGTTTTTTAAACCTTCAAGTCTCATTAAATTTTTAATAATCAATATTGGCCTTCAAGCAATGATTGTTTACCATTTATGATTATCTATAAAGGAACATAATGATTTGACATTTATTTTAATTTTCAAAACTTGAAAGTATCAACATTCAAATTGAAATATATATATATATATATATGTGTGTGTGTAAAAAAAAAACTTTTTTTAAAAAAAATTGAAAAAACTGAATTTGTTTTTTTTTTTTTTTGGTGCAAAACTTAAAAAAAACTTAAAATTCGGTGTCCATAAAGGAGCATGATGATGGAATATTGATGTGCAAAACTTAAAAATAAAATAAAATAAAATAAAATCTTTTACAAAATGAAAAAACTGATAATGTTCTTAGTTTCAAAATTGAAAAAAAAAGAAAAAAAAAAAAAGTGATGATGTTCTCAATTTTATTGGATAGTTAAATCAAACCAATAAGTAGAAAGGCAAAAAGGTTTAATCTCATGCTCCATTTTTTTATCAGTTAGTGAAACAATTATCTGAAACATTATTATGTAAAATTGATAATGTTCTTCATTTTAAAAATTGGAAAAAACTTATAATATTCTTAGTTTTACTAAATATGACTTATTGTTTCAAAAATACACAAACTCAAAATACAACTCATACTCTCAAATAACATTTATAAAACACAACCAAACGCAGGCAGATATATTGTGGAGATATTGAAGGGTATTATCATGGTGATCAAACTGTTTATTTGAGAGAGAGAGAGAGAGAGAGAGAGAGAGAGAGAGAGACTTTTGGTTTTTGGTGGTTGAATTTATATGGGAAAATAATTGGTACAGTGAAAAAAAATTATAAAAATATAAAGGAATTTTTTTTTAAAGTCCCTCATATTAAGATTTTATAGTATAAAAGATACTCAATATTTTCATAATGTCTAAGATCTCTCAACATTGATCCAGAAAAAATTCGGTGCAGAGAATTTCTCTGGACTCCCCAAACCCAGAAAAATTCCCAGACAAACATTTCCAGAGATTCTCTCACCCAGAGAATTTCTCTGGACTCCACAACCCAGAGAAAATTCCCAGACAAATATTTCCAGAGAAATTCTCTCAACGCAAAGAATTTTTCTGGACTCCACAGCCCAGAGAAAATCCCAGACAAACCTTTCCATATTGTCAGCACTTGTATTTGAACTCACAGTTGAAAGGCCATGGGAAAAAGATCAAAATATTATTATTTTCCAATGAAATAAACATCTAAAAAGCAACACTTACTATGACTACAAGATCAAAACAAATGATCATGATTATAAATAGTTAATTTCTTCATATATACCAAAAACACACCAAAAACAACAAAACTAAAAAGGAATAACTTACTAATAACCACTCCAAATTTCTCTTGCCCAGCAACATCCCAACAGTAAAACCTTATCTTCCCACAGTTGGTGAAGAAATCCAGTGGATGAACTTCAACATTAATTGTAGCTACAAATCAAAAAATCTCGTCGATCCATATCTCACTACACACATATCCACACTATATATATATATATACACGAATATGCATCTATATATGCTTACATTCGTATTTCTTCTCAAACTCTCCCCGTAAGATGGTCTTTTGATCTAGGGGTTCCGAAATCGTCCAATCTTTGCTCCATTCGAGACCATCACAGCAGAGACGGAATTAGCTATTGTGACCTCGTGGTTCTCAAGGACTTAGAGAGAGTCATTGGTCTGAGAGTTGAGAGTTCTGATCTTGTTCATCAGAGCCTCGAAAGATAGAGAGAGAGAAAAATGAGATTTGATGTCACTACAAGAATTAACACTTTTAGCAACAAAAAAATTGGTCGCTAAAAGTCTATTTTTGGTCGGCAAAAGTTATCTGCGACCAAATTTTTTGGTCGCTACTTTGGTCGCCAATTGAGGGTCGGCAAAAGTAATTCGCGACCAAAATTATGGTTGGTCGGCAAAAGTTGGATTTTGCCGACTAAATTTTTGGTCGCTAAATGTTTAATTACCGCGACTAATTTATTTTGTCGCCAAAACACTTTGGTCGTGAAAAGTGATATTTTCCCGACCAAATTTCTTAGTAGCCAATTATCATATTTGGCGACCAAAAAGTTTGGTCGCCAATTATTACATTTCGCGACCAAATTTTTTGGTCGCCAATTATCACATTTTGCGACCAAAAAAATTGGTCGCCATTTGTGTCTTTTTGCGACCAAAACTTTTGGTCGGCAAAAGTGAGATTCCACGACAAAGAGCTGTTTTGGTCGGCAATACATGTATTTTTTGCGACCAAAATTTTTGGTCGACAATTGTCATTTTTTGCAAAAAAAAAATAATTTTGGATGTCGCAACTAATAAATTGGTCGTCAAAGCAGAAAAACAATACACCTGTAATGATGTTATAATTCAATCAATCCATAATAAACCTATAATTTTAAAGCATCATTCAAATTAACTGAATCATTAACATTCGACACAATACATAATTCATTAACATTCGACACAATACAACTATTCTAAGTTTTCATTCACAAGTCACATCCATGTAGCATAACAATTTGAAACATAACTATTTGTTATCCATGCACAGCTATCAACAAATCAAAACTACTAATATTTATATTTGTTATCCATACACATCCATCCAAAAATATTTAATCCTCCCAAAAATGCTTATACTGCCAAGTAGTCTTGTACAATTTGGCTTCGTGAACTTGTTAAGAAATATGTTGGGGAGGGTGCTCGTCTGGTTCGTGAACTTTTGATCCACTTTTCCCAACTTTTGATCCACTTTTCAATGATGGCCCCATCGATATTGTTTTAGCCACTTCAAATGTTTTTGGGAACAAAGAAAAATTATGTCACTATGAAACAACACTACCGAACAAAGATAATAAAACCTCAACAAACTTCACTACAACATACCTTGAAAAGCCCCAGAGTGCTTGAGTCGTTCAAGAACAATAGCGAAGGCAGGTCCTTGAATATCTTTCAAATTCTTGGTCACCTAGTCATGTAACAAGACAATAAACTCAGGAGTTCTGCTAGATTTTTGACAAAAACCAAAGGAGGCACCAAAAAACCAAAGGTATATACCTGAATCATCCAATTCCATTAACACAACTTCAATAAACTTGAATGATTGGAAAATCTACATACTCTTGCATACCATGTCAAGAAGGCTAGAAAGATCAGAAATTATGAAATTTCCAAGTGCATGTAGAATGAAATTTTTTTTATTTATACATTGTATTCACAATATACAATATAGATTGTGCACAAAATAAATAAAATAAAAACAAAAGAAAAGATGAGAGCTGCAATAACCCTTGAAATGCAATTCAAACTATATGGTAAATTGATCTGTAAGTAGGTATAATACAGAATGGTCATCATCACTGAGCACTTGATATATGATGGAACTACACAATGAGGACTGAGAAATTGCAAAGGGAAATACATGTAAAAACTACGAATTAATTACCTAAAAATAGTCTTCTTGGCCTTTTCAAATAACAGTCTTCTAGCAGGAACTCTTATCTGCTGCATGACCTCTGTGTCACTCCTTAAATCAATCTCACACTACTTTTCATTCTCCCAAAACCTTTGAGTTGATAGGAAACCTCTCTAAGAACCTGGGAAAAACAAAGTATGCTAAATATAATAGAAGGTTGGGATTAAACCAAGTTATAGAGGGATACACATTCAAAACAGTAATCATTATATTTTTGTGACACATTCTATATTTTAATTCAATAATAGAATGAGTGAAGAAACGACACAGCCACAGGTTGGGCTACCCACCATCTCAATATAATCATTGACCCAACTATGGATCAAAAGATAAAAAATTACGTCGATGGCTGTATGTAGTGTTGTTGAAGGCAAGATTGTGGTGATTCTGAAGCCTGAGGACTGGTTCCTGGAAAGCACTGAACCCTTCCCATTTGTAGCCGGATTTTTACATCCTCATAAGGAGATAGGTTGTTGAGTGACCAACCAAGGCCTGAAAATTAGTGTTTCAGTGTAGGCAAGATTGGAAGTGGAATATGTGATGATGAACAAAGGGAAAATGATTTCGTTGAATTCGTGGAATAGGTTTTCCACACCGGATGACAAGGATAGGGCTGAGACATTGTGGGTACAATGACAATCTAGAGGTGATGTTTCCTCTGCGGTTTGGCAAAAACCTCACACCGGTGCAGCAAAAAAAACTTGACTTTTCCCCCCAAGATACAACAACTCAACTAAGTCGTATGGTTCACCAATACTGCACAATTGGTTAAACCCAAAACTTCATCACGTACACCCTTTATTTCTTTGCCTGATAATCTCATACAACAACAAAACCTTCTTCTTCTTTTTTTTATTTTTATTTTTATAAATTTTTTAAAACTCCAAATTTCTATCTCCCTTGAGTTAGTTTTTTGTGAGCTACAAACAAAAGAGGTAAAAGGCTCAATTTATTGACAATGAGACTTGGTGGGCAAGAAAAGGGTTTCTTAGAGGAGAGGAAACTTGGTGAGCAAGTTTTTTTGGTGGGAAACTTGGTAGGAAAGAAAAGCTCGAGCACACAATATGATCTATAACACATTATAATATTAAAATATATGCTGACATACCCCCACCTATTTTAATATTATATGTAACAAAATCTGAGATTATTAGGTAAAGAAGGATATTATGCATCATACATTGAACTTCCATTAGTGAAACAATAATATTTACTCCAGAATCAATAGTATGCTCAGCATTAAACTATGACTGCTTAATGGAAATAAATAATTATTGCACACACATAATATTCTAGGTGTTCACATAAGCTTTAATAGCCAGCACATTACGGCCTTGTGCGATCCCAGAATTCATGAGTGCTGTGTTGGCCGAATAATTGCAGACGTGAATAGGCAACGTATAAATTCCCAATCGGTGTATAGTATGCATTCGGCCCCGCCCCTGCCGTTTCATATGTCGAATAAACCAAGCAGGGGCCGATTAAATGGGGATGGTCGAGTGAGTAAGTACATGACAGATCAAGAGCGGGCCCTACCTAGAAGGCCAAGAGCGTATATAAATAGAAGAACAACAACCAAAGGGAGGTATGTGAGAACCATTACGCTTAACTTAAAATACAAGTAATCCAGAGAGTAGAGACATACTTGCCCGTCGGAGTGCTAATTCCGGCACCCCCGACCAGAGTGTTTAATCCTTTTCAAGTGACTAGCTGAGGATCACGAGCGTCCCCCAAGATCAGAAGAGTATTTCCAAACCACTTCCCCACAATTGGCGCCGTCTGTGGGAATACTCAAGTACATCCATGGCGGGCGTGACGGAAGATCCTCCGGCAGTCACTGTCGACCCTACGCCGCAAGATGAAACCACTCCAAGCAATATGCTTGGGCCAGAGAATATTACCGCAAGAAGGGCCTTGAACTTCGGTTCACCCTCGACATCAGCACATGAGGCAATGCAAACGATTATGGAGCAAGCAAAGGAAAACGAACAGAGGTTAGAGAACATGATTGCTGAAAACGAACGTCTCCATCAGGATTTGGCATTGGAAGTAGCGAAGTCCAAACAAGCTGTACGCCAAGATCCGAAACCACCTCTGAGGGCAGGTGGTCGACGACCTCGAGCCTGACAACAAGACACTAACAATGACTCTGACTCATTATCCCTGGAGCCCAAAAAGAAGGGTCGACTCGAAGCTACCAGTTCTTCTGAAGAGAGTGTACGTATAAGGCATAAGCGAAAAAGAAACAATTCAGACGAAGAAGACCAGCATGATCCCTTTGTACGATGGATCGCAAGGGCGGTCCTGCCCAAAAAGTTCAAAGCTCCATCGTTCACTCTCTATGATGGAAAATCAGACCCCACCGATCATATCCGTTACTACAAGCAAGCCATGACATTGCATACAGACGATGAGGCCCTCATGTGCTGAATATGTCCCAGCAGTTTGGGACCATTGGCTGTCAGGTGGTATTACAAACTGGAGCCGGCTTCGATCAAGTGCTTCCATCAATTACAAAAATCCTTCAAGGCCAGATTCATCACCAACGAGGTCCAGCCGAAACAAGCCGACTCTCTCTAGGCAATGCAGATCCAACCAGGAGAAACACTAAGAGCGTATTCGGCATACCACTGGGAGTGCTTTAATCTTGTTGATGATGCTTGCAACAACTCTATGGCCATCACTGCCTTCAAAATGGGTTTGCATCCTGACAGTGCTCTCCGCAGCTCCTTGACTAGAAGACCCCCCAAAACAGTCTGCTTGTTGATGAAGAAAGTTGAGGAATACTGCAAAGTGGAGGATAACGCCTGCGGGTTAAAGCCGGAAACGTGGCCAACATGATGGCCCCTTTTGAAATTGCTCAGCCGATAAGTTTCGTGCCACCTCAGAGCCCTGAACCGCGGCATTGGGCTAAACGGGACAAGAGACGGGATTCTCGCCGATTAAGCGACCAATGCCCCCACCGAGCAAATGAACAACTGCAAGCCGATG